TAATTGATTCTCCTCGACATTTCCCCAATGAATGTTCAATGATGATTTTAAAACGCTTGTTTACTCATAATTGAGTGGTGTCACTAGCGGATTCTCAACTGGAAACCGCTTGCATTTTTTTTTTGATTTCGTTTTAGTTTGTAACTAAGATTATCAAAGACTAAATTGTTCGAGAATTATTTCCACACGAATCGCTGTAGCGCAGAGGAGTCAAGGAGGAAGAGGAGGAGAACGCGGTCTGTCTTAAAGGCAAAAAAGGATACGGAGCGTAAGAGTATGAGGATCCCTTCAATTTACTGTTTGAGTTCAGGTACTTCTGATGGACTGCATTGTACTGCGTGGGGCACAGTGTCTTGGTAGTGAACATTTTTGCAGCATTATCGATCGAGGCAAGCAGCCTGAGCGATTTCGATTCTTGATTATGAAACTGGTAATTTTTCATCTATGGCTGGTTGGAGGTTTCACAGCATAATTCTTAAAAAATGCAATGAATCTATTCAAATGTTCGATCGCAGCCGTAATGCGATCATTGATTCATTTAGCGGAATACATCAGTGTAAAATCCAGAAACAANATCAAATAATAGCTCAAAATCTCTTGCTTAATCAATGAATCCCAGTTGAAGAGAACGAATTCAGGTTGGAAAGAATTTATGGGATTTACGCGTTGAACGTCCTCAACAACGCTTCTCACTGAACACAGCACTTAAAGCAGCCGAACAATGTCTGGAAAGTATTGAACATCTACATAAAATTGGTTATCTTCATCGTGATGTTAAACCTGGAAATTTTGCAATTGGAAGACAGGAGAATAATGAACATCATACAATATTTATGCTCGATTTTGGCTTGTGTCGTCAGTTCAGGTGAGATCATCATTGCATTTCCCAAAGAATTCTCTGAATAAAGATATATGTTTCATCTACCAGTGGTATGAATTTCACAAATGATACCATTCATTCTATAGAAAGCTTTCTGGACTGATGAAAATAGGGATCATTGTAATTTTTGGTAGCAGTCTTTCGTAGGTCAGTTAGAGTTGAATAATGAGTTTGATTTATTACTGATGTAAATTGTGTCAGCACGGCAGAAAAGGACTTACGATTACCACGTGAATCGGCACCATTCCGAGGTACAACACGATATGCGTCAATGACAGCATTACGACAAATGGAGCAATCAAGAAAAGATGATGTTGAATCGTGGTTCTATGTTACTGTCGAATGGACGGCTGGTTCATTACCGTGGAAAAAATTACGGGTAAATTGATGCTGTCGTCCTCATTGGGAACTTCATGAGGGATGAATACTCCAAATGAACATCTTATATCGCTTGCCTCACTGAACATCGCTATATTTGTAATGCGATCATTCAACGACAGTTTTTGCGTTATGAAACAGTTCGATTTATTGATTGCTAGTATGTTTTCAATGTATGATTGCTAGTATGTTTTCAATGTAGATCAGCGAAAGGGGATTTTCGCAGGAAGTCATTGCTAATTGGCTGCTCACAATGCAATTAGTAAGCAGCAACTCTTGTGGGTTGTTGATCCTTAGTACTCACGCATTAGTTCAGAGTTACCCATTCACTGCTCACAACCGGAATGAGTTTGCGGTTACTCACGCTTACACGTTTCCTCTCACTGATTATGATACATTGATCGATTTGCTCACATATTCGCTTAAATTAACGAAGACGTGGCTGAGATATGTTATTATAGTATGACAGTCCTGAATAATAATTGATTGTATCATTGAAGGGACCAGATAAGGATGAGGTACTGCGATGGAAAGAAGAAGTGAGGGATGGCGAAGCGTTAAATGATTTCCTGAAAGAATGCCCGAAGAGAGAATTCTCAACGATTCTAGCCTACATTGATACTCTTGAATACGAAAGTATTCCTGATTACGATCATATCTATTATTGTATACAACATGCTGCTAAGGTTCCTTTTGAGTTCATCAAAATTGCTGTAGTGATTCATATAATGCAGTGCCGAGTATCGATTATAAATGTGAATGCTGATTATAAATTCTGCCACCTGCAGTTATCTTAATTTATGAAGGAGGGCAGATATCGGCGCTGAGCTCCTGGGTTAGAATGATAGGCTCATAAAGGAGGTTTTGAAAATGATTGGTCATTCATAACATAAATATTTCCAGACGAATGGTATAGCTTTCGATGATCCTTTAGACTGGGATCCATTCAACAAATATCACGGACCAATAATTGACCTGAAAGCGCGCAGTAAGATGGATGAAAAAGATGCATCTAATGACAAGGAAAATGACAAGGAAAACAATGAACATAATAAAGAGAAAGTGAAAAATGAAGAAATCGATCATCAACAAATACAAACGTAGTAAACCTCGATCCTTTGAAAAAATAGTACAAATATAGTGAAATTTTAAAAAGATCCCAAAGATTTGTTTGATTTGTCAATGATATTAATCAACAATGAATGCGATAATAACAATGGTAACAGATTGAAAAACTAGGAACAAATAAATTAATATTCAATGGTTTCATCTGTTGGCGTAATGATCGGAGAAGCGTTCTTTAATCAGCATTATATATAATAGTAAGTAAGTTATTGTACTGAACACATACACTTTAGTATACTAAACATAATTTAAATCATTGTAGCAGAGCAAAGTAGAGAAGTTCACAGGGAAAAATCATCCCGTGAAATCCTATTGTCGAAGTGACAGACAAACGGGCAGTTCAAGACTTCACATTGAATTTCGGTTGGAATTCCAACATTCGGATTCCGAACGAACAGTTTTGAAGTTCATTCGGAATTCGAAATGTTNAGTGTGCTCAACACGATTCGCCGGCTCGTGGCCCCACGACTCTCACTGTTCCCTTGATTTTCATATTCAACCTAATCCAAAAAAAACTGCTGTCCCCCTCCAACCTTCAGTCCTTCAATTCTCTATGTATCTCCTCATTTTCTATTTGTTCCAGTCTACAGCTTGGTTTTCCTAATCCAATTGTCTGCGAACAATCTTATTCTCATTCAGATGCTAAGTTCACTCCAATACGTTACGTCACCCTTACCATATTATTCAAAATATATTACTTTCACGTTACTCCACTCCTACAATTCATCTCCATCACAAATGAATCTGTTCATGTTCTTTCGACAATATGATTCTGTGAATGCTTCAAGATACTAAAAGGATAAAGTTGCACGACTGGGATCATCATCGAAGTATTGATCGAAGCACAATACCGTTTTATCAAACCAGCTGTATCTTGAGCTTTATTGTTAAAGACGCGAGTTCTTTTCAACATCGACTTCAGGAGATTTTCTAGTATCAGAAAAGTGTATTTGTTGTTGATCTNTTATCATGATCACTATTTTCAAAGCAAATTTCACATCATTCTGGATTCTTGTATTCGTTTTTGTTTCGTTGCAAAGTGCTGATTTAACAAATAAATTTCCGCTCCAAAACGATGTATTTAATGAATTTTATTGAACATCATGAAATTGACGCAATCAACATTTCACTGCATTATCTGGATAGCTCGACATATGTGGATAATTCCGATAACGAGTGGATAATATCAGCGAAAATGGGCATTGCATAAAGCCGTTAAAGAGGCGTTTAATTGTTCACATAAGGTCAGTTGAACATAAGCACTTTCATTGCATTCCTTTTCACTCCAATCCGTTCTATTTTGCTGATCATTTTTGCAAAAATTTTCATTTGCTATTTTGCTGATCATTTTGATCATTTTTGCAAAAATTTCAAAAATTTTCAAAAAAAAATTTTTTTAGACAACGAAGAAATTCTCAGAAGTTTCTACTTGCGATGCATTTCACGATGTGATTTAGCGCTCGTTTAGCACTGTAACGATAAGTTGGTAAGGCAAACAGTGTTGAAAGCGACAGTACTGTTGGTGTGAGTGCAATGCTTATAGCCTGAAAATGAATCATTTAGAGCGATGCAACAACTTCATTTAACAAATAAGAATCCTAACATAGTTATCCATGCTGAACATCCGTATAAGTTGGAGAAAATGACCAGCCACAGTTTCGCACTCATTTCTCTTCAAAAA